TCTTTTAATGTTTCTCAAGTGAACCTTTTGTGGACTGATGTCCTTCGGAACCTTCTTGAACCTGACCAGTCAGGGAGAAAATAGCATCGTTTGCTGTGGTCATTAAACAGCCTGTGTTCATTCCTTTCGATATCGATTGAGTTCTTTGAGAACAGTTAGTTACCCATAATTTACTACAACTATTCTCTATTGTGACAATTGATGCTGGTATTGATAGCTCTCTTTCTCACATCAGAAATTGCCATAAATAACTCTGCCATAGTAATTGATGTACCCAGCACCTCCACCAAACTGTTGTGTAGATGATGTGATCGTGCAAATATTAAAGTTTGAACCCAAGACTTTATTATTCAAACTGAATGAGTAACCACTTATATATACTTGATGAATGAGCTGTAACGTTCTAGAAAATGGAGAAAATTCTCCAGTGTATAAAACATAAAGGGAACAAATTAACAGGAAGGAAATTTAAATAAAACTAATTTATGGGCAATTTTTAACCTTGCCTTTGTAGGTTTTGAACTCTGGACCTTTGGTTTTCAAATCTTTTCACAGAGCCATGATGTGCTTGATCGAGAGAAACAATTTTCGCTGCAATATTAATACCAAAACATAACATAAAAAGATAGAAAAACCTATCACATATCCATACTTATTAGGAATATGCTCTGCAATGAAAATGCATATCTATGAAAATATGAAATACTCACTAAATAAAAAGAATACTGTACATATTAATATGGAAGAAAAATCAACTCCTGTGAACTAGCGGCCAAGCGGTAACGTCGCTGAACACTGGTAGTTCGGTCCGAGGTTCGAATCTCGCGAACGGGCTGTCCCCATTTGTAACGTGTATATGAGCCAGTTTCCCTTAAAATGTCCTCCACGAAGGCATCCCCTCCCTTAAGGCAGATAGCCCTTGAGTGCTTTGCCGTAATCTTATAAACCAAACCAAACCTGTGAACTAGCCCTACCTGCACTCTGAAGCATATGGTAATTTGGGAGAAAGTTATCCAATATCAGCATCAATATACAAAGTACGTTTACCAAAATATTCCTAATTTGTAGCTCCACAGTAGAATAGTTTGCATAGATACTGCTGCTGTGGAATCTCAATACTCAGCTTCTTCGAGCCCTTCACTCTGGTGCATAACTGCAGCGTTCTTCTTGTATCACCAAATGTGGCAATGGTTCAATGCCACAATACTCCAAACTTGTCAGAAAGTTCATTAAAAGGAAAGCTGAAGACTTTAGTAAGCCATAAAATTAAATGTATTTAAAATTAGAAGGTAAAATATCAAATTAAATACATGATGATAAGCCGATGCCAAATGTCAACCACAAATAAGCAGGAACAATGAAGTGCAAGTCAGTCTTCCGGTGAAAAGTTCAAGTCCTTATACACACGCTATAATAAGTGTGCACGGGTACATAGCAGTAAACGTGCATATTGCGTGCAAATGTTAAAATACAATATCCTTTTCGGAAGACATTTATCCCCAAAATGTGGCTCCGACATTCTGGATAGAGCTTCGAAGTCTAACCTCTGGTTCTTGGTTAGAGTTTGAAAAATATCTGCTATGAGAGGAGTGGTGACATAGCAGGCACTAGCTTGAGAATCCCATCTATTTGCATCTGCCACTATTGAAAATTGTGGCCTATTACACTTGCTGAGGGGTCTTACCATCATACATATATATCTTTACACAAAGATGAGTAGGCATGAGTAAACATTTAAAATAACCAGGATTGTTTCATGCCATCGTTATGAATTTCTTTAAGAACTTCTTTAATGACCGCAGAAACTCTGTCATCAATTTGTTGTTGCACAGCAGAAACTGTTGCTTGAATTTCTCCAACTTTGTCTTCAACCGTGTCTATTCTGCCTTCCATAGCCTTCACTTTATTTTCTATTATGCAATTAATTTCTCTTTTTATTTACTCTTGACCTGCTTCAGTCTTTCTTGAACAGCTTTCATCTTCCCTGTAACAGATTCTTGACTAGCTTTTATTCCTCTTAAATAGTTTTCATCTCTGCTTTCACAGAATCTTGGCCAGCTTTCATCTGTTCTTTGAATGCAGCAAAGGCTGCCACCAGCTGTCTGAACTGCTTCTACATTACTCTTGGTACTGGCATTGAATCCAGCTTCTGATACCAAAAATTAGTGTGTGCATATGCTTTTGTAATAGATTGAATACATGCGGGTCCATTGATAGGTTAATAAATTTATTTCATAAAAGAAACACTTCAGAGTTTTGCAACTTTCTACAGAAATACTCGTACAGGTTTTCACAGTATCATTGATTATAATCAGTAATTACATGTTAAACTGCTAAGAACATTAAACACAACCCATTCCAAAGTGTATCTAAAGAGAAAGCTAACCGAGAAATATTTCAGTACTTCAGACTCACGCTGATCTAACTCCTCACAACAACTGTAGAGACATTAGGTATTTTTTTTTAAGCAGGAATGATGAAAAATAGCAAGCGCCTTCACCAGGAATCGAACCACGGACCTCTGAAATACTGGCTCAGTGTGCTGACCACTACACCACAAAGGCACGCTAGGAAGGCGGGAGAAATAACTTATATACTCCCCTTTTAAAGGGCGACTGGGGTTTTTAGGGGGCCCAATCGCCAAATCCTGGGTGAGGAGAAATCAGCATCCAACACCCTTTTAGTTTAGGCGCCACTGTAGAGACATTAGGATTTTTTGAAAGCAGGCAAGATGAAAAATGAGCAATCATCTTCTCCGGGAATTGAATAACGGACCTCTGAAATAGCAGCTCAGTGTGCTGATCACTACACCAGGAAGGCAGGAGAAATACCTTATACAACAACTGAGAACAGATGCTTTCTCTGGCCTTATATAATTTTGACCTGCCTACCAAGAAATGTCTAGTGCTTCCCAAAATTGCTGGAAGGCCTCTGAGGGCCGAATGCGATTACTGAGCATCAGTTACAGTTATTCAGTTATAATATCCATTATGGTGATAAAGGAACCAAAATGTCGCCAAGACTTTTAGCAATTTATTTCCAAATTTGTCACCAAAACCGTTGCTAGCTTGGCGATATATCGCCGAATTAGCAAGATAGCCCTTTACTCAGTGTGAAAAGGACTTGCTCCTATTTTCTTATTTTCCAGCAGAGCATCGTCCCTACAGATTTTTAGTAACATTATACAGAAAAGAGCTACAATTTCACACATAATTGCTCTAAAATCATCTATCCATGTACAAAATTTGTAACAGTATTTATTTTGATTGGTTAATTTGTTGCATGTTGTGCTTAAAATAATTTATCGCTTCATGTTTTAGTTTGCCTTTACAGCATCAAATGTTAGCAAGACTTTTTTCTCTCTTTATCTTTGGACCACTAGTCCAATCAGGAAATAAATATATAAATAAAATTAAACTAATTAAAAAAAAAAAAAAAAAAAAAAAAACCCTCTTCACGTACGTTGTCTAGGAATGGGGAATATTGTACTATTCAGAAGCAGCAGAGTAAATTTGCATTAAATGTGATTTTTTTCCCCACTGAGATCCCCTTTTCCGACCTTGATTGGTTTGTGAGGAAGGGTTAGCAATTTTTTAATCTGACCTAAATAATAAGCCACTTATGTTGCCATGTTTACATGTCACCTTACTAAATTTGTAGCAGTTGCTGAAGTCTCAATGATTCCTGACCTTAGAATACTGTTTTGAATTGTTTCATTAAGAAAATATTATGATATTAAAAAATTAGTATTTCATTAAGAAGTACAGTCAAACGTCGTTATCGGACACCATATGCGAATGAGCTATATCCGGACCTCAAAGCTAAATCTTTCCGCGCATGCGCCGCGGTGGCGCATGCCATAGGCGTTTTTAACTCGTGCCGCCCAATTACATTTCACTGCGCATATGCATTGCGCAAGTGCAGAATATACGTTTTCCTCGCGTGCGCGTTCATGGATATAACCGGACGCAATAAATAAGCTAAATTATCTATTATCTATTTCAGGTTAATGTGATGATTGATTGTTAAAAAAAAAAATTGTCTTTATCCCACGGATGCTTATTATTTTTTGTCAGACTTTCTAGTACGCTTGAAGTTTTTGATTAGTCAATAATTTCCGATGCTGGAGCTCCCAAGGATCTAGAAAACGAAAGTATGTTCGATGTCCATCAAACAAAAACGAATTGCTACAAAAAATGGAAAGGCGATAATTCTTTGTTTATCTAACCGTTCCGAAATCTGTTTATCAAGTCACGCTGCTCTGGCGCGAGGGGGGGGGAGACGTAGGCGGACGCCATAACTGGAGTTGATTGTAACACTATCGGTTCTTCATAGCAGAGTTTTTATTTTTAATATTCGCTTATATTTCTTTACTAATGTAGTATTAAGTCGTGTACTCCGTCTTTGATATGATTTAAATCAAATTCTCGTCATAATACTACCACGAATACAATCAACGTTTTTTCTGGTTGCAATTTCTATTTCGCTTGCTAAGGTATGCTACGCATCCACGCATTGAAGAATGTTTAATAAAGTAAAACAAATAAATATAGGCTCTTTTTTGGTAAATTTTTGATACCCTTAACATAATTCTTATTATTTTATAATTACGTTTCAATATTTTTAATTTTATAAATTTTCTGCCATGCCATCTTCCCAGATTTAAACTGATGATCTATAATCCGAAAAATCGATATCCGGAATCGCCGAAGTCCCGACGAGTCTGGATTAGACTTTTGTCTGTAGTAATTTTGTGTATTGTGGTTATGTCTTAGTAAAATATTCAGTATTTTATAAAAAAGTAAACAGACGCTTAACTATAATTGACAGTAAGCTGTGTTTGAAATGTTTTAGAATCATATGTAATTAAAATTTATTATATGTATATTTCAGAATGTTTTTATAATATTGCTTTTCATTTTTATTTCAGATTTTTTAATAGTTAGGAAACTTTGTTTTCTGTTTTCGATACGAAGGATAAAGATGGGGGGACTAATTTGGACATTTCCTTCTGAATTCTTTTTACATTCTGTAAACAAATGAAAACATTTCCCTCTCATCAAAGTATTTAGCATCACAGGAAGCCAATATTTTCAGTAATAACTTTAAATATCTATGCTGTTTTATTCATGTCTAAAAGATGATAACTGGGTATAGATATTCAATTTTTTCCATGCTCTTTAAGAAATGCTGTGGTTCTGAAATCACCCGATGGCCTTGGTAAGGTGTTCCATGTTTATTTATTTATCATTAATTAGAATTTAAAACACAACATATGTTTTAAATCATTCATTATTGTTTGTTCACTAAATGGACACTGAAAAGGGTGTAAAAACTAAAAATATGGGAAAATGTTAATCATTTCAGGATAAATATGATTCATTTTATCATTTGAATAGTATTTAAAATATATTCCAAGCTATTCAACTTACACACATGACCACAATATCCATAATATCTAGTGCCAGTTCACCTCTATGGTGGTGAAGCAAATAAAATAACCCATTTCCATGGTGTCTCTTAGTTATTATAATTTCAAAAACATTTATATTCATTCAATTTAGCAATAAAAGAATTTATGGAAGGAAAACTTTAAACTAGAATCCTTGTCCTCCACCTCCTCAATAGGATATAGATTTTTATTTTGATCTAATTACATGATTTGTTTACCTGATTTTCCATTTTTAAGCCCCCAAAATTATATTGACTGGCTTTATTTCATGAACCCTGTCCCTAATATACCCACACATGAATACGCAGGTATATGTCATTAAAATTGAAAGTTGAATGAAAAAAACTGAAGGAAGCAAAGCATGCTATAGAACTGCTGTAGAAATAAATTTTCACTTAAATCAAAATGGCAATAAAGAAGTAAATACTGCAAATCAAACTGCAAGACATTTTTGTGTTTTTGGAAACCTACATATTTTGTCAAATATGAAGCAACCATCGGAATATGAAACAAATGGGGAATTGTGTTGTGTTAAAAAAGGCAAAAAAATTAAAGAATTGTAAAAATTAGATGAAAAAGTCCATTGGTAATAGAAATTGTGGTGCTGTCTTACGGGGGGGGGAGGGTATGCATGACACTCAATCAAACATTAATAATCATGTTTTTTTTTTATACGCTTGAACTTTGTATATTTCGCGCAAAAAATGATTAATTAATAGTACTTTAAAGATATACACCCCTCTTTTTCTGAGTTTTCAGAATTGGGAAAAAATGATGCAGGAGGATAGAAGCAAATGAAAAATTAAATGTATAGCTATGAATACTTACAAATGGTATTAATTTGCTGATTCAATCAAAAAGGTGATATAGATGCAAATATAATCTAAAAGCAAAGTTCAGAAGCAACTGTATTATAGCATAGCATATAATGTAGTCTAACAATGTGCCAAAAAAATACACAAACAAAATTTTTACAAAATTTTTAAGAAAAACTTAAATTGCAGATATATCTGGCAAAAGATCTTCCATCCCTTCCATACAGACACAAACACAAAAGATACAGCAGGCAAGGCAGCAACATCTAAAAGTCGAAAAATTTCCTTTGCAGAAACGCAGATGTGCTCATACTCAAAATACACAGATTACTTTGAAGAGACTTTGAATTGGTGTATATACTTTTTAAAAGTTTTCAAGGCCATTTCAAATTAATTTGCATATTTATAGTATAATATATATATGCTTTAAGAATAAAATTTATATTTTATTAATTCCTTAATGAATCTTCTGAAAAATAGTTTGTGTGAATTCATAAAGTGTTTTTTTATTATTATTTTGTATTACTTTGAAAATTAAAATTTTGGCTGTGTGAAAATGTAGTGTCATGACATTGAAACGTATTTTCCTGACCACGTAACTTTCAGCATTAAGATTAGAAGAATAAAAGTAGGTTTCTCTAACCCTTTTGGGTTAATTAGAATTGTTTTTATGTATTTAGTTGGTTATTACATAATAGTTTGAATCAAAAGTATGGAGAGAAAAAGTAATGTTTTTTAAAATTAAATACTATTTTTATATGTATATTTATTTATCAATTTATATTTTGCAGGGTAAGGTTTTCAAGTAGGAGAAAGGAAAAATTAAAGGTGCTTTAAATGATTATTAAATTGTATAAAATGTACATAAACATGCATACAATTTTGCATAACCTCATAATTTTAATTTACTGAGTATTTGTTTTTTCCTGTGTATTACCTAAATAAGTTGCAATTTATACTTACAGTTTGATCTGAAAAAATTTCCAGGAAAATATATAAGAAATTTTGGAATTATTGCTCATATCGATCACGGTAAAAGTACACTTTCAGATCGCCTCATGGAATTCACTGGTAAATGCTTTTTGCCTTCAAACCATTTAGTAACATTTTCTCTTATTTTTATAATATTGCTGTTTGTTTCTGTGTAGTAATATTTGATGTATCAAAATTTCTGCTGTTGTCTTGAGTTTTTATATTTATATATATTGGTTCCATCAAACTTCAGTATCATTATTAAGTCACAAGCTTTAAATTTGACTATCTTCTACATCAGTCTCAATAAAAGTCTACTTATTCAGTAATTTAAAATTCAAAGTTCAGTGCTTATTATAAGTAGGGTGTTAGAAGCCATCCAAAATACAAAAAAATCTTTTTTGTGGTGTCACATATACTGTGATTTTCCAGTGTCGTATTTGTCACATAATTATGAAATGGATATGAGCAACATCTTACCTCAAGCCTATATCTTGGGGCTTTACATATTGCTAGATTAAAAAATTATACTTCCCCCCCCCTACAGCTAAGGGCTTAAAGTTTGATCATGGTGGCCACTGTCAGTATGTCAGTCAGTGTATTATCCTTGTCCATGATATGGTTTTCTAGCCAGTATGTGCTTGAAAGTAATGTGCAAGAATCTCAGTTAGGAGAAATATTGCTTTTATGACACAACCACTTTTCTTGATATGAGATTATTCAAATGTTGGACATCTGGATATTATATTTTGTACTGTTATAAAAGAAGCAAGTTTCAAATTAAATTTGGCATGTATTGTTGAGTGAATGATTCCACGTTGTTCACATTTTGATGTTGCATTAATACCCTGACATTGTGAAGTAATATTTTAAATTTTGCTTTAAGGAATTCTAAACAAATTATTCACCATTAACTGATGTTTATTGGGGGGGGCAGATGGAAGCTATTCGTAATCATCACAATAAATGAAAAATTATCATGTCACTGAAAGTAGATAAATATAGCTCTAACTAATTGAATATCTAATAAGAGTGTCAGTCTTACTGTAATAATGTATAATTATTTGTGTGTTAATATTATTGGAAAACTAACCCAAGCTGCATATATTCGCTAATTGCATGTCAGAAATAGATGCAATTTACAAATGACCCTTCTTATAAAAAGTGTACAATGTGCATGTAAAAATATTGTAATATATGTCTGGAAAAAATAAAAGATATTTACGTACTTTTCTACATTACAATATGCATAAATTATATGTAACATTTAGGTATGTTCATGCAAATGATCACACCTTTATTCATAGCTTTTACATATATGTAAATTTTAAGGGTTTATGTCATATTTTTGGTAAAACTTTATGTATGTTTATCGCATATATGTAAATCTTCTCAATTTTTTTACTTCATATACTTTTTATATAAATTTAGGTTAATTTTCCCAATTTTTTACTTCAGATGTAGGTATAATTTGGGTAAAAAATCCAGGTAAATAACCTGTACTTTTTACTGTGCATTACTGTGCATTTTCAGCAGAAAATTTCGTGAATCAACTATTTTCTTACTAAATCTACTACTGCAAAGATTCCCAAACTTTTTCAGTTGGCGATGCACTTAGAGATTTAGTATTTTGTCATGGTGCCTTAGTCATGCTCAGTGAAGTGTTGTACAAGGTTTGTGCTCGACAAATTGCTTACTACATAGAGTCATAGAAAAGCACAGAACTTCATTAAATACATTGAACTTCATTACAACCAAAATCTGAGGCTCATATAGTTATATATTGAACTGATATCACAAGATTATTATATTATTCTTTTTAAAGAAAAATAGGAAAAATCAGTGGGATTGGTAAGCTTGCTGATCTCTGCAAAGTTTTTCAAAGCGAGGGATAAGACTTGACACTGCCTGCCTCATTTCTTACCCCATGTTGATCTTTGAATGATATTTGCTCTTTATTACAGCAATAACTGAAAATCCAGTTTCGTGATGTTGCAAAAGGAATAAAAATCCTTAAAGCTTTTGAACTTAGAGTTGGATATTTATTTTTGATGATTATCCAAAACTCCACCAGATCGAAACGAGCAAATTTTATTTTAAGACTGTTGTTGCAAGAAAGTTCAATGAGACTCTTCTTGTGAAGTGAATTCTGGTGTAGCTTGAGTATGGAAAGGATTTTAAATCCACGAATATTTCTCAATATTTTTTTCCGCAAAGTATTTTGCAAACCATTCAGTGAGCTTTGAAAGGTGTTCCATAAAAAACAGACAGCAATTTTTGAGAGACAAGGAGCTCATTAGAGGACATGTATTTATGCAGTTTGTGGAAACAATCTTCACCACCATCCTCATTAATTTTTCTTATCCACAACTGCAGTTTTCTTCTAAACGGTGCAATCTTCTCCAATAGTTTCAAGATGTACATATTATTGCCTTGTACAGACAGATTCATTGCATTCAGTTTGTCAAATATATTGCACAGATATGCCAGTTTTAGTAAAATATCTGGTTCGACAAAGTATCTGGAGTTTGTATGTCCTTTCTCTTTCAGAAAAGTGTGAATTTCTTGATGCAGTTCGAAAACACGGGATAAGACATTTACACGTAAAAGCCATTGTGAACTGCTGTAATATAGCAGGGCTGTGTGTTCAGCTCCCATGTCCATGCAAAGTTTTTTGAATAGCGTGGTTTTCAGTGGCCTAGTTTTTATGTAGTTTACTATGTCTATGATACGTTCCAATATCAAATTCAAGTCACATTTTATCGACTTCGATGCAAGTGCTTCCGTATTGATGATGCAATGGGTCCACGTAGCATGCGGTGCTTTACTGTGAATAAGGGCTTGCAGTCCTCCATACCTGCCAGATACTGATCGAGCACCTTCAATGCATACACCGATACACATTTTCCAGTCTAAATTATTTTCTGTTACAAATGTGTCAAGAATTTCAAGTAAAATTGGAGCCTTTGCCCATTCACTGATGCTTTTACAAAAAAGGTCTTCAACAATTATATTATGATCTAGAAAACATACATAACAAATAAGGTATGCATCTTTATTACTGTCAATAGCCTTGTCAAGTTGTAGATCAAATTACTTGCCTTTCATTTTCTCAATTAATTGGTCTTTGAGATTCTTGGCTTTATGATGGATATTTCAACTAATAGTGTTGTTAGTTTTTGTAATTGGTTTTCCCACCGATTCTCTTACAGTAATATTAACCATATCAGCAGCCAGTAAAATTAGTTATTCTGTGATGGTGCAAGGTTTCTTGCACTTTGCCCCCTTGAAAGATGCAGAAGTGCACCTAGCAGTGCATTGCTAAGTACTGAAGCTTATTGAGTGAACCCTTTTTTTCGTTTTTGTAAATTTTGCATGATTTTGCAACCATAATATAATACAGTGAATGGTCTCTTGGATGTCGTTTTAGTTTACTTGGGAGCATACTTTTGGACAATAGAACTTTCAGACAGAGCACACTTTGCAGTCTTTCTTTATTATTTACTTCTACTGAAGTAAAGCCAAAGTCCAACTATCATCGTATTCGCAATATTTCTGCCTTTTTCCTCCCCAGCCATTTGTCGAGGATGGATTACTGAAACTTGAACTATCAACTTGCTTATGTAAAAAAAAAAAAAAAAAAAAAAAACATTTTGTGACTAACTTTTTATGAAAATTCAAAAAAGCACAATTAAAACAAAGCAACCGAACTGCTCACATACATGTTTAAATAGATATTATAAGATTTATCTCTCCTGGGTTCATAAATTACAAAAACTTTGTATCACTACCAAGAACACTTTATTACTACTACTATTTAACTTAACAATTTAGCTGCTTACACTTATGATAAACTAACTTGACAATTCATCCTACGGCGGCTAATATACTACTACCAATCAGCACTTGTAACAATCCCTTTGATGTGACGTGATGATCGAATGCAGGCTTCTGGAAATCTCTCTCACGTTGGCTAAGAATTCAGCGAACCCAAATTCTGTATGCAGGAAGAGAGTGGTGTTGTCGGTTTCCTATGCAACGAGTGATTTATGCAGTGCTACCAATTTGAATTTAGATTCCATGAAAGAGTATACAGGAGCACCTCATGGCACCCCTGTTTACACTTCATGGCACACTTTGGGAACCCCTTTACTACTGCATTTATGCATGCATTTTCCGTGAAATCTACACATTTAGTATCATATTCCAATAATTGTTTGCAAGCCATCGACCTCATATAGTGGTTAGCGATGCTGACTGCTGTACAGATGGGTTTAAGTTAATCCTAGAAAAGGCATGGATGTTTATAGTGGGTGCTAAGTAGTAGGCGTTCTAGTGGTGTATCCTGGTTAACACCAAATCTGCTGCAGCAATTGCTACTGTCCTCTTTAGCCTAAAGACCAGAGGATCAGTGGCCTGGCATTTTTTTTTTTTTTTTTTTGTGTGTAATGATATGCAGATAATATACTCTTATTATGAATGAAAAATGTTGTTTAAACACACATGATTTTCATACACCATGCTTTAGTTACATAGTAGTAAAATGAAATATCTGTGTACTAGATATAGCTATACTTTTACAGTATTTAAAAATAATATGCAGACACTTTTTTTCCATGCATGTGTTGATATTTTCCATTTATTTAAATGTATTAAACTAAAATAAGAAACCAAACTGTTGTTCACTAAGTAAATCAATTTTCTTAAAATGTATGAATTTTATTTAGTAGCAATAACTGAAATGAAAATTAGAAATAATTTTGAAGTAATTGAAAAATATAAAATTGTATTTAAAAAATTCATAATTCTCAGTATTGTGTTTTGAATGATAAAATAACTAAGCTAGTTTCAAAAATGAAGTAGTCTTATATGTTTTATCATAAGAAAGCAGGGTAGTGTTCTGTTATCGGGACTGGTTAAAAACTGTATGTATGTATGTACATATATGTGTATATGCATACAAACATATACATTTGTACTTGCAAATATACATACATACATGGATGCAAACATGCATACATGCATACCTTTCTGAATCCGGTCCTGATAACAGAACAGTACCGAAAAAAGCAATAAGAGACACTTACCTTTTTGTTTCA